ATTTTTTGCTTCTGACGATGGTTTCATAATGTCAGGCTGAAAAATGCAATCTTCGAGCGAAGCAGATGCGCCGCCAACTGGATGAGCAAGAAGAAGAGATGACGCGGGAGCGTGCAAAGTCAAGAAGCCTTCAACGCGAAATTGACGACCTTACGGAAGCCAACGACACGCTTATCCGAGAAAATAATAACTTGCGGTACACGGCTATTCTGTCTTCTTGAGGAGGCATGCGAAACGTTTAATACTTTATCTCTTGCTTTTTTTTGCAGAGGGGGAGCAGCACGTCGAAACCGCGAGAATATGCGACTCCGATCGGCATACCAAATTCCGGGCTCTAGCGATAATTTGACTAGGAACGACGACGAAGATGGTAGCATAGGAACTGAAGGTGAATCGGTTTCCTCAGTGATTGGTGAAAATAGAAAATTGAATTTGCGTTCAAATGTTAATTTGTATAAGAACCGTACTTCAACGCTTTCAGTTACCGGTTCTGATCATACGGATGAGCTCAAGAAGACGAGCGTCTAATAATGCGACAAGACGTCGTTTTCCCATCGTATGCAGGTTCTTATCTACGATTCAGCTGCCTTCTTTATTTGCAACTCTCACTTACTAGCTGGGTACTTCAACTTAATCAACGCTCCATGTATAGTTTAATTCCACTTGGCGCCGAAATGCTCGATCACGAGAAAGTGTATCGCTTTGTGCTGCCTTGTGTCGCTTGTTGTCGCAAAGTCATCGTTGTTTCTTGTTCTTCAACATCGCCTATATAGACTAGCAGAACCCGGTGTCTGCCGCCCTTCGCAATGTGTCAGCTCGCTCCTCCCTTCTCCTTCCACTTATTTAATAGTTGTAGCTATATTATTTTGTGCTATTTGTTTGTTGGAGACAATTACTGCTCGCACGCCGTTCTCGCTCGCCCACCGCGCCCGCCTTCTAACAATAATTCCTGCCCCGATACCTTCGCAAACGTGGAAATAGTTTTAATGGTTTTTGTACTACGTTTGTCAGAGTTCTCGAGTAATGCAGCCAATGCCGGCCGCCTCCTTCGTCCCGTCCCGTTCCACCGCGTGATGTGCGACCCACAGTTGTCATAAAATATTGGTCAAAGTTTATATGTTGTGAAGCGACAAAGCGTCACTCACTAATTGCACATTCCTCTTTTTGATGCAACGTTAAAGGCGCTTTATGTATCCTTACTTGTTCACTTACGAAGATATTGTGCTGATTCACGCTAAAGATTAATAAATATCTTAAATAGTCGGGATTTGCAATAGGAAATGAAGATACAGAGCTTTA